GTTACACCAGCAGCCCACAGTGGCCCAGAACCGTATTGCCAGCAACTGTCCCGTCAGGCCGGGCAACGCCAACAGCAACTTGGCACCATCTATGGCTTTGGGGGAACCGAGCTGTCTGTTTCATGTTGGGGATTACGATATTCGGGGTACCTTATTGGGGTCCTTATGTGCAGGGGACCCAACTTATTTGGGGGTCTCTATTGGGGTCCCCCATTTTCGTAAGCCCCCTGTTGAGCCCCCACTAGCCACACGTCGACCCAAGAATTCGGCCCCTTGACCTCCACACCGCTGAGCCCCAAACCCTAATTAAACCCTAAACTCTAAACCCTAAACCCTGTAGAGGCTATTTGCCCGGCCCGGTGACGCAGATGCGCGACGAGAAGGCGAGATGCTGTTAGACTAGGGGGGTGTTGGGGTGCCAGGGTGTGGAGTGCCAACGAAAGTACTGAATCAAGAGATTATTAACCACGGCCCCGAAGCCCTAAACCTTAAACTACCAGAATACTGCAAGAATTCAGACATGCTTTGGGTTTTGTTTGTTCAGAATTTTCCCCCCAAACCCTAAATCCTAACCTTTTGCCGCCCTTGGCAAAGGTTGATGCGGAGGAAGTGGATGCCAGGCTTGGCATGTCACCGATTGCCTCCATGACCACGCAAGCAATCCCCTTCCCCTTAATATTCGATACTCCCAGCATAGGATAGTATCGGTATGTTACTTAAAGGTATGTTACTTTATGTTACTTTATAAGTATATTATAGGTATACTACAGGGGCATGACAGGTACACTATAGGTATATTATAGGTATATTACAGGTACATGGTAGTATACAGCGGGGGGTATTTAATATTAGGGGGGGAAGGTTTTGTCCTCGTGAAGAGACTCGTCGGACCGCGCGCTCGTGCTCAAGAACCAGCCAGACAGTCAACAGTTCAGACGTTAGATTGAAAAATAAGGGGGATTACGATCATAAGGGACCCCGAATATAGACCCCCAAATGGTAGGATCCCCTTCTTCATATCGTAAACCTCTTCGTTTGACGGCTAGGAGAAGTGCGCGCCACGCCCGGAAAGGCCTGGCTGCGCTACGCGAGTGCATCTTTTGTTTTGACAGTTTGAGGTTTCTAAGGACCTTTGCGATGAAAGCCATCTCGTGGTTTAGGGGTTTAAGGGGTTTAGGGTTTAGGAATCAGGGTTTGGGGTTTGGGTTTAGGGGTTAGCGTTGTCAGTCTTTGCCAAAGGAGTAGTGCAGCAATCAACAAAAAGCCTTCCAGGGCGCTTGGCCACGCTCGAAACCATCGAGGAGGCTTCGGACCTGGCAAGCAGCGGACCTGATGACGAAGGCAGCCGATGGCGCACACGGGAACTGCTCCAGATTGAAAACCCCGTTGCGCTGCCTACGTGGGGTTGGGGGGCAGGTTGGGGGGTTGGGGTGGGAGCTTATAATGATTAATGTCAGGTATCTATCTATAGTATAGCCTTGGCATACACCACGCTCACCTAGGAACCCAACCCTTGGTATCTCAGAGCTTGGCTGTTGCAGGCCAAGGCAGTGACTCGGACTCCAGCGTGGAGCGCCTATGGGCTTCGGTGGAACAGGCCCGGAGTGTGCTCAGTGTGCGTAGTTGGGGGTCGGAGGGGAGAGGGAGGGATGTTAGCGAACGGGCTCGGGTTTTGAGGAAGACGGGCTTGTGTTGACGGGAGGTTTGGCATTTCAGAGCACGTCAAGGCTTGCACTCAGTGCTTTGGCCTTTGACTCACTCAGTCGCCCTGGACAGGTCCGGCTGCCTGGCTAATGCAAAGGACTGACCAGGGAGTGAAGAAAAGAGGCGCGTTGCTGCATGCTCAAGATTTGGTTTAGGGTTTTGGGGGTCTTAGGGTTTAGGGTTTAGGGTTTGAAGCGTGGGCTTGGGCAACAAGTCCTTGCAGGTATGGCCTATTGGACATGTGGGGGGTTTACGACAAAAAGGGGCCCAAGATCTAGACCCCCAAATACTGGGATTATCGTAAGGATCCCAGTAAGGTACCCCTAACATCGTAAACCCCCATGTGGGTATTTCCCAAAATAGGCGTACCCCTTTTGGAACCCATATGGAATAGAATTTCCTTAACGGGAACCCCCAAAAAAGGTACCCCTAAACCCTAAACCCTGAACCCTGAACCCTGAACCCTGAACCCTGAACCCTAAACCCCAAACCCCAAACCCCAAACCCCAAACCCCAAACCCCAAACCCCAAACCCCAAACCCCAAACCCTAAACCCTAAACCCTAAACCCTAAACCCTAAACCCTACCTTTTTGTCCCATGCCAAGGTCGCGACTATCGTGACAGAGATCGAGACCATGGCTCGAGCAGGCATGGCACGAGGGCCCTCAGAATCCCCGAGTTTAGGGTTTAGGGTTTAGGGTTTAGGGTTTAGGGGTTTAGGGGTTTAGGGGTTTAGGGTTCAGGGTTCAGGGTTCAGGGCACTTAGGAGCCAACTACAACTGCACTTTACGTGCCCTAATATGGTTAGAATTTGGGTTAGAAGTACCGTGATAATTGGTTAATGAGTACCATGAACCTCAAGTACAACTAACGCGGGTCTTTGCACAAGTGGGTTTAAGTGGGGCGGGGGGTTCGGATTTTGGGTTTTTGGGGTTTGGGGATTGTAGGGTTTTTGGGGTTTAGGGGTCCTCTAGAAAGACAGGCCGGTTTAGAGCTATTTCAGTATAACTACGGTATATACAACACAAGATGGAGTCTCCCCACAATCATGCTCAAACCAACAGCTCGATACCCCCACCCGAAAGCTTTCACGTATAAGCCTATATATAGAGAGAGAGAGAGAGAGAGAGAGAGAGAGAGAGAGAGGGAGGGAGGGAGGGAGGGAGGGAGGGAGGGAGGGAGAGAGAGAAAACAAAAGAAAACCTTGGGGCAGCCTTCCCTTGGGGGGGGGGGGGGGCTACGATTGCAGGAGAGAAAGAGAGAGAGAGAGAGAGAGAGAGGCACGGCACAGACGACGAGTAGCCGACATTTTCAGCCGGGGGGAATTCCTGGGAAAGACTCGCCCACTGTGTGGTGTTGTTCGAAGTGAGCCTTTGTTGCCTATATACCCGAAGGCGAAGTCAAACCCACCTCCACGACCCTAAACCCTAAACCCGAATAGTCTCAGCAGTCAACGGGGAGCACAGAGGTCGTTGTTTTCGTGTTCACTTGAGGTTTGGGGGTTCTTTGATGGGACCATCAAGGTGAAGCGCTTTCGAACCCCAACCCCATACTGCTCTTTTTCACTACGCACCCGCGAAAACGCGGTCGCGGCAACAGACTGGACATCGGACATCACGCGCCCCTGGGGGCGTCCTCCCTTCGGGGGGTCATGCGTGGGGGAGAGAGAGAGAGAGAGACGCGAGCGAGCGAGAGAGCGAGGCAGAGACCCGTAAACAAAGAAACCCTAAGCAGCCATTCGAAGCCCTAAACCCTTTCAACCCGAAACCCCTCCTGTACCCCTAAACCCTAGACCCGAAGCCCGAAGCCCGAAGCCCGAAGCCCGAAGCCCGAAGCCCGAAGCCCGAAGCCCGAAGCCCGAAGCCCGAAGCCCGAAGCCCAACCCCACCTTGCTGCAAGGGGCAGTTATGGCTCCTATGACAGCAAAGACCTGGGCGCCAACCTCCGCGGCATCAACTGGGGCGAGGCTAGCCACTCAACCCTAAACCCTAAACCTTAAAGACTATGGAGCCAGTTTGGGGCCCTGATAGAAATACTGTATATAAGGGTTCTACAATGTTATAGAAACACTGTATCTAAGGGTTCTATATATGTTACTATAGCAGCTGCCCCAAATTCAGGGCCCATACTTGGAACCCTAGAAAGAGACCAGAAATCTTTTTGTAAGCTCTGGAAGCCCTTTAAATGTCCCGAAACCCTTACCCTGGGATCCCTTGTTTGGGGTCACTTCAGAAGTAATCCCATTCCACAAGGTACCTGTAGTAGAGATGATATACAACAATGCCACACCCTAAACCCTAAACCCTAAACCCTAAACCCTAAACCCTAAACCGACATAGGGTTGACAGGGTAGGTAGGGTTCAGGGTGGAGATGGCCAGGGCTCAGGGATCAGATGCGGAACTGATCACTGAGCCTGACAGTGCCCAGGGTTTAGGGTTTAGGGTTTAGGGTTTAGGGTTTAGGGTTGTAGGAGGGGCTGCGCCGTAAGAGCAGGCCTTGGACAGCTCAGGCCCTAAACTACCACAGTGCATAACTAAACCTACAAGACGGCCCTTTGGCAGGAGAAGCTCGCCAAGTTCGAGAAGGCGCGGCAGATGCAGTTCCTCGAAGCAGCCTCGAGTCGTTTTGCGGGTTTAGGGCTTGGGATAGCTTGCAACAATGCTGGTTGAAGGCCACATGCCATACTCTTGGCCCCTAAAACTCATGCCATACATGCTTTGGATCGTCGTCCCTAAGGTGAGTATACAGTATAAGCCTCAAGGAAGAACGGCCCATGCTTCCCGTCCCACAGGACTTCTACCAGGTGCATCCAGCCGTGAGCGCAATGTCCGAAGAGGAAGCAGACACTTGGTCTGAAGATTTCGAAGTGCCAGGGTTTTGAGAGTGAAGCTTGACGTTTTATCTTTCGGGTTGTTGGGAAACTCTGGGTATCTGGAGCTGTAGATAGCTGTAGACACGTGCAAGGTTCTTCAAGGTATGCTCCTGAAGAGCCAGCCAGCTGTAGCGGCAGAATCCAGTTGAACCTTCCCCCTAAGGAGAGAATCAGACAAGAAAAGAACATCAGCATTGCCGGCGGCCCAGATATTTTTTTGAGTCTGAAGTGCGACAGCTACAGTACAGCCAACAGGAGCTCCTATCGGTTGATGGGTCAGCGGGTTTTCAGACAACCGCGTTTGTCATCAAGCTTATCAATGTTGCAAGGGGCAGCCCCCTTGGGCGGTTTGCAGCCAGTTCGCCTCTACTTCGCCTCTACTTGTTGACATTGTCAGAGCAAGTTCCGCGGAGTAGTGACGAATGGCGTGGTACAACATGTTCTGCACGGGGCTTGCCCCATGGAGTGCGCCTCCTCTCTCGATCGGGCAGCGAAAGTGCGGCGCTGGCGCTGACCAAGCTCCTTCGGCACGGACGTCCGCGCCGAGGACCCGGTCCGTGTCTCAAACGATGTGTGGAGACTATGCCTGTTTCCCCTTGCAGAGGTGTTTTAGAGGCTCTCTAATATGTAGGAACATCTGAGGGGCTCAATCCAGTTGGCCAAGCGTTGAGTTGAAATCCCCCTCTGAGCCCTGTAAAACACAACACCAAAGATGAACCCTAAACCCTTTAGACCCTCGAGATGCTCCCCCTTATTCTAACGGTCCTTAATCGGCATTATAGTACCCCCAATTATCATCCCGATTAAGGACGGTTGGGGAACATCCCCTAAACCCTATAAACCCTAAACCCCCCAAACCCTATAAACCCTATAAACCCCTAAAACCCCTAAACCCCCTAGACCCCAAAAACCTGTAAAACCCTTAGAACCCTAAAAGCCCCCAAAACCCTAAGCCCTAAACCCTTAACCCTAAACCCCAAACGCCCAGGAGCCTTGGGGCTCATGGCTCGTGTGTCCGATCGTCGGCATGCCCTGCAGCAGCCACTCGCAGTGCAGCGCAGTTTAAGGTCTTGAGGGGTTTTGGGGGGTAGGGTTTAGGGTTTGGGGTTTAGGGTTTAGGGTGTAGGGTTTAGGGTTTAAAGCGTTTAAAGGGTTTTTAGGGTTTAGGGCGGGCGCAGTGCTAGGGATGTTCCTCGAGGGGCAAGAGGAGGGACCATAGGATACATGGCGGTTTCTTTGAATTAGGGTCCCTGTTGGGGCTTCTATTATAAGGTTGGCCCTATGGGACCATGATTTTGAGAACTGACCACATTTGGGGGGGGGGGGAGAGGGGCATTTTTTGTCTCCCCTGCGCTTAGGGGTTCGGAGTTTGTGAGGTTGGGAAGCGGTGGGGAACAGTTTTGCGGGTTTTGGTTGCGAAGCTTATCGCGCATACCCTAAACCCTAGTTTCTTTCGCGGGGTTCCCGTGCTGTTGCTTTTATGCGAAAGCTGGCTTTGCCTTTAAGAACCTAGGTATCTGGGGGCTTTGGGGGTCCTCCCTAATCTAGGATTTAGGGTTTAGGGTGTAACTAGGGTTTAGGGTTTAGGGCTTAGGGATGTTGGGGATCAAGAACCCGGATCGATCAGCTCCCAGGTGGTTGCTTACATGGCCTGCCGCCACCAAGAACCCAGAATCAGGCCGGACCATGGGTTTAGGGTCTTAGGGCTTAGGGCTTAGGGTTTAGGGTTTAGGGTTAGGGTTTAGAGTTTCGGGCAAGTTGAGGGTTTAGGGTTTAGAAGCTCGTGGAACTGAGGCAGTTCCCTACATGTTGTACTCCAGACACTGACACTCCACCCAGCTACCCAGCTACTCGCCGGATGTATGTTCAGGGTATATGGGGACTACTTGCGTGTGGACTCCCTAAGCAAACCCTAACCCTAAATCCTTTTGGTTGGGTGCAGGCGACGAACGCTCCAACTTCGCGACGCACCTGGTTGCACACAGAACGGATGCGCCAGAAGCTTAGATTAGGGTTTTCCGGCGCAGGCTCCAAGTTGAAATGTTTTTTTTTTGTGGGGTTGGGGGGCTGGGGGGGGGGGGGGGGCCTTGCATAGGAGGGTCCCACTAGAACCGTGGACAGTTAAGCTTAGTTTTGCAAGGTCGGGTTTTAACAACCCTCCCCCCCATACATGAGCCCCTGACGAACTTTTCTTTTACTAAGACACTCAGGATGGACTGCGGGGTTTGGGTTCACGGTCCCTCACTGAAACCTACGTCCTTAGGGGTTTAGGAGTTAGGATTTAGGGTTTGGGGGGTGTATAGGTAGCTTAGCCTAGGGGCTCATCTATGCTTGCTGAGGCGTGCGCAACACAAGCGGAGGACTACCCGTTCAAGTCCAGCCAGGACAGCTAGACGCTTGCCATTGTAGCCGAGAATGATGAACATGGACTGCAGCGGATCTACATTCAAATCCTGTTCCCTTCAATGGTCCTCTTTGTCGAAGAGGTTCGAGCATGAAAGGCACCATTGCTCAAATCAAGCAAGAGCATTGGTCAACAGAAACCTCAACCTGCAACCCCAATAAACCCATAAACCCTATGACCTCGTAAACCCCATTAAAGCCTATGAACTCTATAAACTTTAAGCCCTGTAATTCCTTTAAGCTCTATAAACCCGGAAAACCCCACCAACACTACCAACCCTACGAACCCTACGAACCTTGTATGAAGTAGGGTTTATATTCCTGTTCTTGGTGAGTGTATATTATAAGGTTACTGTATTTAAATATTTGTGAGTGTATATACCGGGCGTCCTTTTGGGGGGAGAAAAATATATAACCTGCTTCATATGCTTCAAACGTTTTGGCCTACGAGCCCTACGAGCCCTGCGAGCCCTACGAACCCTAAACCCTAAACCCTCCATATGCTCCAAGCGTTTGGCCTGAAGGATTACCAGCACCACCACGTCGCTGTGCGGAGGCTTGCGGAGTGGCAGAGACTCCTGGGCCTGCACCCACCAGAGGCACGCACTCTTGTTTGCGCTCTTGCGCCCTAAACACTAAACCCTAAACCCTATACCCTAAACCCTAAACCCTAAACCGTTCGGGGTTTCGGGGTGTTGCGAGGCGGAGGGCCCAAGATCGGCCGCCCCTGGTGCCTCCTTGCCGTGGGACCCTTTGGGCTTGTTTAGGGTTTAGGGGTTTAGGGGTTTAGGCTTAGGGGTTTAGGGGTTTAGGGGTTTAGGGGTTTAGGGGTTTAGGGGTTTAGGGTTTAGGGTTGGGCCCCCTTGATTTCGGAAATCAGCATCACTAAGTCGCGAGGAAGCTTCTGAGAAGCTAAGGTGTTTGTTGTGAGGCAAGGAGGACTAGGAGGACTCGGAAATCTCAGAGCTTTGCGGACGTTAGATTTGGCTTTCGGGCTAAGGGCCGTTAAGGGCTTCAGATGAACCTGAACGCCTTCACAACCCTTAGGCGACCTTGTTTTCCCTGAAAGCTTATTTAGCCACTCTAGACCAGTAGAAGCCCGATGTCAAGCCCTATATGGGGGTTTCCGATACTAGGGGTACCTTATTGGGGCTCCTGTCTCTACTTGGAGGTTCAGGGTACTTACTAACCAATTATTAGAACTGTACTTATAACCCACTTATAAGCCCCTTAAGTGCCCTAATATGGTTACAATTTGGGTTATAAGTACAGTTGTAATTGGTTTAATAAGTGCCATGAACCTTCAAGTATCTCTACAGACTCTACTTGGAGGTCTTCGCAGCAGAGCCGCGGGGCCATCGGACGCGGACAAAGCTAGCGGTGGCGCCTGGCAAGGTGCTGCTGTACGAGCTTCGGGTTCGGGTTTTAGTGTTAGGAACCGGGTTTGGGGTTCAGGGTTTGGGGTTTAGAGTTTGCGGTTCAGGGTTTGGGGTTCAGGGTTTTGGGTTGAGGGTTGAGGGTCTAGGGTTTAGGGGGTAGAAGCTTCATTACCCTGAAGGAGTAGTTTTTTCCAAAGGGTACTTTCTCCCGGCCCTTGCATCAGTGACTGGAACACCGCTTTGGAAACTGTAGGGTTTAGGGTTTAGGCTGTTTGCCCGCAGCGAGGTGTGAATCTCGAATGGCATGCCAGTACGCCTAGGTCCTAAGTCTCTGGGGCTGCTCCTCCAGCGCCTAATTGCTGGGTTTTATGGTGCTTGCGCGTTGTCAGTGTCCTACATGATGGTCCCTGCGTGAAATTATGTTTAGGGCCTAAACATCTGGGCGTGAGACTAGAATAGGGACCTGTTGGGGACATACAGGTGGGGGCTTACAAGAATATGGGACCCCAAGGCCCGAAGATAGACCCCCAAAATAGTAGGATACAGTTAGAATAAGGACCCCAAGAAGGTACCCCTAAACCCGAAACCCTAAACCCTAAACCCTGAACCCTAAAACCACTCATCGTAACCCCCCATGTACCGTGCTGGCCGCATGGGCCATCAGCATCCGAACTACCGAGCTGTGCACAAGGTTTTGGGAGCTTCCCCGGGAATTTAGGGTTTAGGGCTTAGGGTTTAGGGTTTCGGATTTAGGGACACCCTTGCTGGCAGTGCTGTCCTCCATGAAAAAAAACTAGGGGGCAATTTTTTAACTATTTCGTATAGAAGGTCCAAAAGAAGGTCACCATCTACAGGATACATGTTGCAATGGAACCCCGCATCTAAAAGGTCAAGAGCTAGAGCAACCAACATCCATTTTTTGCCTCCCGCTGTCACCCGACAAGCACAGGAATTGGCCAGAGCGGTATGGACCTAAACCCTAAACCCCTAAACCCCCTAAACCCCCTAAACCCTAAACCCTGCATGTAACCATAAACCCTAGACCCACTTTGAAAGGACGGCGTGGTGCTGGGACTGTTCAAGCGCGGCACACAGGACCGATTCGGGCTGAGGTGTTCGCCCTTAGCTGAAGGCTCAGGGTACTTATTAACCAGCTATAACTGTCTATTCTACCCCACTTATAAGCCCCTTAAGTGCCCCAACATCTTCAAGTAGTTGAAGGCAGGTTGCTTTCAGTTCAGCAAGTCGCACCACGTTTTTTCGTTTCTGCTCAACACTGGGAACTTCCTGATGTTCTCACGCGTAGCGAAGGGGTCCACAGGCATTCGCCACTTGCGCACTCCCGGCCGGATGTACAGCGGGAGGCTTTTCTTCAAAAGGTTGGGTTTTGGGCGTGGGTGTGCAGGGACCCAGGGCCCAAAACCCTTCAGCAGGTTGTACACTCCAGGTCCTTATATCCACAACACTACCAAAACCACTTCCAATTCAATAAGTCCCTCATAATATCCTCTTTTTTTGCTTTCGCGCCGTCCTCAGAAGTAGGAAGGCTCTGATGAGACCTAGTTGAGTATCCTCCTTTATCTTCAAGAGACATCTGCCTAACGTACCTATTCTACTTCAAGAACTTCTCTTCTTGAATGAGGAGGTCCTGCCTGCACTCGGCTGTGCTGCGCTGCATCCAGTTCTCCGGCAAGCCCTCGTGCGGCTCCAGAAGGCCTTGGCCCCCTGGCCGATGTTGGCCACAACTTTTGGGGAGTTTAGGGTTTAGGGTTTGGGGTTTGGGGTTTGGGGTTTATAAGGGTTTAGGGTTTAGGGTTCTTGTAAGAAGGATTGTCGTATATTTGGGGGGTGGCATACTAGGACCCGGAGTAGGCCCTTCTTCCCTTGTCTTCAGGGTTGAGGTACCCTTATACGGCGCTTTAAACCAAAAAAGGCACCCTTTCTACATATATATCTATATATATATAGATATATATATATATGTGTATATATATATATTTTGCATTTTTATAAGGGCGTCCCCTATTTCGGGACATGCCCATGTGGCTTGATCTCGACTCCCAGGTTCCTCGGGTGGGGCTTGGGGCTCTTCCAACTGGAAGTTTCCGAAATTATTGGGGTTTAGGGTTTAGGGTTTAGGGATCCTACTATTTGGGGGTCTATAAGAGGGGTCCCTGATTTTCGTAAACTGCCCAACGTCTTGCAGTATACAGTTAGCTTGACCGCGCTTTCGTAGTTGTCTTCGATCGTTTGCAGAAATTCAGAAGCCTTGGGATGTTCCAGCTGATACTGACATTGCTTAATAAGGATGTTAATAGAGGGTACTATAATCCTTACTAAGGGCTGTTAGTATAAGGGGGAACATCCCAACATAAGCCCTTCAAAAACAGAGAAATCAGAGCGTAAACCCTGCCCAGTTAGGGGCAGGCTTCTGGTAAAGAGGATGCCCTGAAGCCCCTAAACCCTTTGCAGCCATTTGCAGCCTGAAGACCTTTTCTAGGGTTTAGGGTTTAGGGTTTAGGGTTTAGGGTTTAGGGTTTAGGGTTTAGGGTGTAGGGTTGGATGGCGCAAGTCCAAAAAGCTTCTCCTCCCAAATCCGTATAAACCTCCAAACGGCCCCTGAGCCCACAAGCCCTGAACGCTAAGCCCTCTAAGCCCTAAGCCCTCCAGGCCCTCTAAGCCCTCTAAGCCCGAAGCCCTCTACCCAAACCCTAAACCCCAAACCTTAAAGCCTAAACCTTAAAGCCTAAACCCCTAATTAAACCCCTAAACCCTAAACCCTAAACCCTAAACCCTAAACCCTCTAAGCCTCTGAGCTTAAACAGACCTGAGGATGGCTTGAAGTCCCTGGCTCTTTATGACCCCGGCGTGAAAAGCGCGGCGCAGAGCGCCGGCGGTGCCTTGCGCTTCGTGCAGCTGACGGTGGAGAGGCGGCCAAGGGGCGTTTAGGGTTTCGGGTTTAGGGTTTAGTTTCGGGTTTAGGGTTTAGGGTTTCGGGTTTAGTTTCGCAGGCTTTTGCGTGTTTGAAAGCGAATCACGTTATGCAGGGCGGCAATCGGGCTCCCTGAAAGCCTAAGCCGCAAATTCCATACACCCTCAACTAAGCCCTACATACTAAGTCCTAACTATCCATATGCCGCTTAGCCCTAAACCCTAAACCCTAAACGGGCCGAAGCCCCAACACCCCTCTGAACCCCAAAAACGCCGCCCTGTCACAGGCCCTCGCAGCGGGTACAGCTGGTCCTGGTCTCTTGATGGCTGGGTAGTTAACATTTATAACCTTTTTTGATTATACATCAAGCCTACTACACAACCCTAAACCCCGAACCCTAAACCCTAAACCCTAAACCCTAAACCCTAAACCCTGTTTTGGGGCTAGGGTATTCAGCCCCTGAGGTCTGGACCTGCAAGCGGGGACCGGCGGTGCCCGCCCTGGAGCGGCTCGTGGAGCTGCTGCTGCTTGGCTCAAGGAAGGAAGAAGGAAGAGGAACAGCGCAGGGGGTTTAGGGTTTAGGGTTTAGGGTTTAGGGTTTGTTCTGTGGGTTTCTTGGGCGGCTTCGGTGGGTTTCCAGGGGGCTTTTGTTGTTTCGGCTTGTTTCTGTGCGTTGCTAGGGGGTCTGTGGCTTTCTAGGGGGGTTTTCTGTGGGTTTCTAGGGGGCTTCTGTGGGTTTAGGGTTTTGGGTTTCTGTGGGCTTCTCCATACCAGAGACATTACGGTTTAGGGCAGCACGGCTTGTAAGGCCAGGGTTTTGCAGAACTTTCCCAGCCGACAGGTGGGATGATGATCCTGGCGACGTTTGGCATTCCATCTGGACGCTCTGAGCAATGGCATGGATGTTTTCCCTGAAGAAAAGAAATTCCTCGGGCGAGCGTAGCTTTGAAGTTCAAGTCCCTCACGCTCCTTAAATCTCCCCCAACGACGGCACCAAACAGTGTTTAGGGCTTAGACCCAAAAGTGTGGGTGTTATTTGCGTACTAAGAGCTGCAGGGTACGGGCGCAGGATGTTTGAGGGTCTGGGAATGCCTGAGGATCCACTGGCGCGAGCCCAAACCGAACTTAGGGAACTTCGTCTTCGCGCTGGAGCGCTGGGGCACGGGGTTTGGAGGGTACGCTGGTGGATGTAGGCCGGAGTTTCAGTCCTCAACTATAGACCCTACACACCCTTAAACTCCCAAATGTTATTCCGGGTTTTTCCCCAAAAACACATCCGAAGTGGGCGCGACCCCACCCGGGGCAGTCTCGGTATTCAGGCGGAGAGTGTCGAGTCACTTTAGCTTCAGAAAACCCAGTTTGAGTTCGGCTCCCTCTTGCTTCATTGTGTCGTAACTGTGCGTATAAGGAGGCCCCAAAGGCTCACTGTTCAAGATCCAGGGCTTCGGATGTTCAGGGCCATTTAGAATATAGGACATACGCACACACACACACACACCCTATCGGACATATCGCACCCTCGAGCAGCTGCTTATCTTTTGAATCAAGTGTCGGAAACCAGCGATCGCGGAAACAAAAACGGAATGTCAGTAGAGGGGGATTCAGAATCAGTTTTGAATTTCTATATGTCCTAAACCCCATGTAACCCTAAGAACCCATAGACATGTAGTGTTAAAGGGTCCCTGTGCATACATACATAGATGTATCTAGAAAAAATAGGCGTGTGTGTGTGTATATACATATGTATATCTGTATATGTATGTTGTTAAAAGTGTGTGTGTGTGTGTACATATATATATATACACAACAGTTTACATGCAAAGATTGTTCTTAGAACACACTTTATAAATCAAGATCACGAACGCTAGCGTAGGCAGGAGTGGGGCCTGGACCAGCGGTTCCCAAGCAAAACAAATGAAAAGTCGATCAAACCCCACCACCCCCCCCTCCCCTCCCCACCCCCCCTCCCTCCCCCCCCCCTCCCCTCCCCCACCCCTCACTCATGCGATGTGCTGATGCCTGGAGCCCTCCTCGCCAGCTCTGTTTCATCTCCGTTTCTGGTGCAGCTGCGTGTGCTCATGATTTCCTGCCGCCCCAGTCCTACGTTTTTCCTCAAAAAAGCCCTAATCTGGACACGCAGCTTTGTGTCCATCTGGTTCAACGAAGCATGCTTGCATCCGACCCTGCCCTCTTGCTGCCCTAGCTCCTCCTCGCCTGGACCTGCTAGCTTTCGTTCCCCTGGCCCCGCCCCTCGTGTATATATATATATATACACATACACATATACATATATACATAGGCATATACATATACATATACATATACACATACATATATACATACATGTGCAGAGACTGGCTGAGAAGCGGAGGAGACCTCGGCTTGGGAGTTGGCACAGCCCCGCGCCTTGAGCGGCGGCCGATACACGGTGAGAGGGAAATTGGTGGGCTTCATGGGGATACTTCGGGTTCAGGGTTTAGGGTTTAGGGTTTAGGGTTTCGGGTTTAGGGTTTAGGGTTTAGGGTTTAGGTAGGGTTTAGGGTTTAGGGTTCAGGGTTCAGGGTTTAGAGTTTAGGGTTTAGGGTTATTCAGGGTTTAGGGTTATTCAGGGTTTAGGGTTTAGGGCTTGGGGCTACTTGGGATGGAGGGTTTTAGGGTTTAGGGCTATTTAGGGTGTAGGGCTTACTTTGGGAGTTCAGGGTTTGGGGTTTGGGGGTTTAGGGTTTAGGGTTTTTTAGGGTTTAGGGTTAGGGTTTAGGGTTTAGGGTTTAGGGTTTAGGGTTTAGGGTTTAGGGTTTAGGGTTTAGGGTTTAGGGTTTAGGGGTGGAGAAAGTTTGCATGGCCGGCTTCTGGGCTTGAGGGGATCCTTAGGGAGTAGTGGGGAGTATTAGGGAACCCCCCTCCCTTAAGGACCCTAGAATTATGGGCTTCAGGGGTCTAGAACATTTTTTCAGATCTTGTTTGGAGTTCATTTCAATGGTTTGGGGCGTTGATTCGGTGTTTCCTTGTTGTTTTGTTTTGCCGGCTTTGTGCCTCAAGACAGCGTTCTCCAAAGCAGACTATCGTAGACTGACTACCCGGGAGCCCAGCCATGAAAAGAACCGTCGCACCCCCCGAACCCTAAAAAAATCCTAAAACCTAGCCCTAACTAAACCCCAATAGAATACTTCAATAAATTACTCACCCTACAGGCCGTCAAAGTCCTGTAACAGGACCCTGTAAGCCTATAAATCCCGAGCCTTAAGGAAGACGTCCCGGCTTCGTGTACGAGAATCTGGATGGCCTCGAGTTCACCTTTGGGCCCTTCAACTTTCAGCAGGCTGCGCCTCACGAAGGGCTTGGGATGGCTTGGAATGTTGGGGAGGGTTTGGGGTTTAGGGTTTAGGGTTTAGGGTTTAGGGTTTAGGGTTTAGGGTTTAGGGTTTAGGGTTTAGGGTTCAGCACTCCGGGTCGAGCAGTTTTATGGTAAAGCTTTATTTACGGCTTGGAGAAAACACCCACCCACCCAGAGAATCCCACTACATTGAGAAAGCGAAAAACGGCCAAATTCTGAAAATAAAGCGGCCAAATTCTGAAAATACAGCGGCCAAATTCTGAAAATAAAGCGGCCAAATTCTGAAAATAAAGCGGCCAAATTCTGAAAATAAAGCGGCCAAATTCTGAAAATAAAGCGGCCAATTTCTGAAAATAAAGCGGCCAAATTCTGAAAATAAAGCGGCCAAATTCTGAAAATAAAGTGGCCAAATTCTGAAATTCAATTAGCCTTTGGCCTGATTTTGGCTCATTTTGAAAATAAAGCGGCCAAATTCTGAAAATAAAGCGGCCAAATTCTGAAAATACAATTAAGGTTTAAATATATATGGTAGAGAGGGTTTAGGGTTTTAGGGTTTATGCTCTGAACCCAACGCAATGCCCTTGCATGCCTATCGCACGCCCATGGCATGCTTACTTCGTCTGCTGCTCAAGCACACCGTGCTCAGAATTTAAGCCGGTTGAAGCCTGAGACGCAGCACCCTAAACCCTAAACCCTAAACCCTAAACCCTAAACCCTAAACCCTAAACCCTAAACCTCTTGGTTTGAGGGTACAGGGTTTCGGCGGTGTCCTGGCAAATGCAGGCCAACCTCGTTGTGTTCGAGCAAATCCTCCGTGGCTCGGAATTGGTTTGGCCCCTGGACCACGTACGCACAGGTGCAAGACTGTAAGTTCTTGCGATCCTACACCAGTCCTTCAAATTTCTATTTGGCCTAAACCTTTAACACTCTAAAACCCTAAAACCCCAAAGCCCTAAAGCCCTGAACCCTAGCCCCAATGGTTGTGAGCTCCTGGTCCAGAGGCGACATGAAGCGCATGCTGCGCGAGCGGGCTGCGGAGTTTGAGGACGAACCTGTGCGACTGCTGGAGCTGCATGCTGGCATAGGCAAGGATTTCAGGGTTTAGGGTTCAGGGTTCTAGGGTTTTAGGGTTTTGGGGTTTTAGGGTTTTAGGGTTTTAGGGTTTTAGGGTTTTAGGGTTTTAGGGTTTTAGGGTTTTAGGGTTTTAGGGTTTTAGGGTTTTAGGGTTTTAGGGTTTTAGGGTTTTAGGGTTTTAGGGTTTTAGGGGGTTAGGGTTTTAGGGTTTTAGGGTTTTAGGGTTTTAGGGTTTTAGGGTTTTAGGGTTTTAGGGTTTTAGGGTTTTAGGGCTTTAGGGTTTTAGGGTTTTAGGGTTTTAGGGTTTTAGGGTTTTAGGGTTTTAGGGTTTTAGGGTTTTAGGGTTTTAGGGTTTTAGGGTTTTAGGGTTTTAGGGTTCAGGGGGGGAAGCGCTAAGTCGTTTCATTTGGTGCGGACAGCTGACCTCTCTTTACTTTCGGATCCTGAAGGTTGGGATGTTCCCCCATTATGCCAACAGTCCTTGATAGGGATCAGCGTACCCCCTGCTATAATCCCTAGTAAGGATCTGTTAGTACAATTTGGATCCTGAAGGTGTCATTGGCCTGAGTCTCGCACATGAGCTGGCAAGTCGTCGCGGCTGGGCTTCTGTTGCCCTTCTGAGCTCCGACGAGAACCCCAAGTGCCTTGGGGACGACATGAACCCTAAAAGGGTTTATGGTTCATATATCTTACAATCGGGATTATAGTAGTAGTAGTAGGGTTTATGGTTCATATACCTTAAATAGGGATTATAGTAGTATAGGGTATATGACCCCGATTTTAGGGTTCATTTGGTCCCCAAGGTGTGCGGCACCCTTCACCGCCAACGCGCGCGGCATCGTTCCGGACCTCGAAGTTCTCAGCCCCATGGATGCAAACTGTGCGAGGAGTCTGCAGAAGGTTGACATGTGAGTGGTTCTCGAAATCAGGGCTCGTATATAGTGCGGGAGCCTTATAAAGGACCCTTCCCCCCCCCCCCCCCAAAAAAAAAAAAAAAAGAAAAAATCAAATAAATATAGAAAAACAGGACCCGAATATATAGAACTGCTCATGTGCTTCCCCCTGTCATAAAATGCCCTAAACCCTGATCCCTAAACCTTACACCCTACACCCTAAACCCTAAACCCTAGACCCTAGACCCTAGACCCTAGACCCTAGACCCTAGACCCTAGACCCTAGACCCTAGACCCTAGACCCTAGACCCTAAACCCTAAACCCTAAACCCTAACTCTAATGAGGTGAGGAGTGTACGTTCACTGCGGGCGCAAGAGTCGGCTTCTCCCCGCTCTCTGCAGAAGAGGCTCCGGCTGCATTTTGGCCACCCAGGGGGTTTAGGGTGGGTTAGAGGTTTTCGGGTTTAGGGTTTAGGGTACTCCCCTATGGCCCCTTTCTAAGTATACGATAACCCCCCCAAAGCCCTACATTCTAATTATCTACAGGCCCCTATGTATACTATAATATGCCCCCAAAAATCCTACATCTTAAATTATATACAGGCCCCTATAGAGTATACTTATAATATGCCCCCAACAACCTGCACTCTAATTATCTACAGGCCCCTGTAGTATAGTCCTAGGCCCTTGCGCGACTCCAAGGAAGTGCTTGACAGGCTGAGCTCAAGCAACGAGGGCCCCCACGTGCTGGTGATGGATCCGCCCCGCACAGGCCTGGCCCCAAGAGGCCGGAAGCTTGGTGGCCCAGTGGTGCCCTATTTCCCTTTTTTGGGGTTCAAGGTTCCCTTAATAAAGTAACCCTAAACCCTAAGCCCTAAGCCCTAAGCCCTAAGCCCTAAGCCCTAAACCCTAAACCCTAAACCCTAAACCCTAAACCCTAAACCCTAAACCCTAAACCCTATCATATGGTTACTGGGCTAACAAGGAAGAAGGCCGGTGCCGCCGATGCTTGCGTCCGCCGGATACGGGCCATGCCCGACCTGCGTCTGCTGATCTACATGAGCTCCTGAGTGGCACTTGAGCCGAAAATAGGGTTTAGGGTTTAGGGTTTTAGGGTTTAGGGTTTTAGGGTTTTAGGGTTTTAGGGTTTTAGGGTGTTAGGGTTTTAGGGTTTTAGGGTTTTAGGGGTTTCCGAAAATAGAGGTGTTTTTTGGGGGGTCCCTTTAAGGGGACTCTATTCTATTTGGGGTACATACCGGGTGCCCCTTTTTTGGGAAATACCCATGTGACGCTTTGTTTGCGTAGTCCGCCTCCTCAGGGTTTGTGAATGTTGGCAGTGAATTGGCGAATCCGAAGGGAACGGAGGCAGGTTCCGGCCCGAAGGATGCTGCGGAGTGTTCCGTCGCCCAGGGACTTCTGGGCGGTGGCATCAGTGGCAGAAGGATAAACCCTAAACCCTAACCTAAACCCTAAACCCTAAACCCTATACACCCTAAACCCTAAACCCCAAAGGGCGAAGGTCCTGAAAGCTGAGGCAGCTAAGGGCGGTGATACGATCACACAAACACTGGTTCGGCTCTGCTTCCAAGAATGGTAGAAAGTTGGAGTTCGGGCCCTAGCCCGAAGCACGAAGCTCAAAGGCAGCTAGGCTTGAAGGCGTCGCATTTCAGATTTGTCAGGAGCCATTTAGCAAACAACGCGTAGAACAAACCAGCCCAAAGCAATTTAAAGAGGACCAACAAGAGCACACAAAGCCCTGCTTCCAACACGCAGGTCGAACGCCTGGGGTCGGACATAGTCGGCAGGAAAAGGGGGTGCAAGCACGGACACAAAGAGTCCGAATCGCAATGCCCGACGCGATTTGGTCGACAGAGCTGTTGGTCTTCGGAACGGTTCAAGGGTTCAACGAGCCCCCAAAAATCCTAGCGAGTTGTAGAGCAAAGGTTGCGGGCCAAGATCCTTCCGCGCGGATGCGAGCCAGCTCATTGAGGCCGCGCCTGAGGCCCACGGTGCGAGAAGAGCGGAGCCCTAAACCCTAAACCCTAAACCCTAAACCCTAACCCTAAACCCTAAACCCTACACCCTACACCCTACACCCTACACCCTAAACCCTAAACCCTGGAGCCCTTCAAGCCAACATCGTTGAGAGTTGAGGGCTTCGGGTGTTGAGGGTCCCTTGTGGCAGGGCTTGAGGGTTTTGGGGTCCGTCAACCCCGAAACAGAATCCCTAAACCCTAAACCCTAAACCCTAAACCCTAAACCCTAAACCCTAAACCCTAAACCCTAAACCCTAAACCCTAAACCCTAAACCCTAAACCCTAACCCTTAACCCTAAACCCTAAACCCTAAACCCTAAATATTGGGAGCGGCGATGATCGACCCACTTGGAAGGACACCGATGGCTCACTGGCCGGGCGGCCCTTCAAGCTCTTGGACGTCAAGTGTTCCACGACACGAATCTAGAAACCATCAAAGGGTTTAGGGTTTAGGGCTAGGGTTTAGGATTTAGAGTTTAGGGCTTGGGGTTTGGGATTTAGGGTTTAGGATTTAGGGTTTAGGGTTTAGTGTTTAGGGTTTAGACCCCAGGCCCCGTACCCTAAACTCTTCGGGGGCCATAGGAGGCTTTCGGATTTCGCGGGTCGGTTTGAAGTTTCTTCGATGTGCGGCCTTACTCCGATGAGTTGTGGGGGTTCGGGCTTCGTTTGTTGTAATGGTTCAGGGATTAGTGTTTGGCGTGAACCACGGATGCCGCTCTGGGTAGCGCCCTTTCGCAGAGGGATTAAAGACAAAGGACATTCAGGTCCCGCAAGGGGCCCGTTTTGGGGCTGCTACCACTATTGGTTTCGGTCCACGTCCGGCAGTACACCGTGGTATCTCCCCTCCTTAAATTTCGTGAGTAGGTGGGGGAAGGGGCGAGGGGTGGAGACAATGATGTCCTTTCATATGGCGACCATTCCCGAACGCGGGCATGTGCAGCGTGTTTGCCTCTTTAGACAACATGCTGCACCCATGTGCGAACCCTCAACACTGGAGTTTGCAGCGTTTTTGCCTCGTTGCACAACATGCTGCACAAGGCAACAAGACGGGCTGTCACAAGCGTTCCTGCCGTTTGTGGCCGTGTTCGAAATACTGCTAGTTACTAGTGTCTCGCTGTTTTGCGTATTCTGCGGTACAAACATGTTGGGCTCTTCAGCATTCATTCCGCATGCAGCCAGCACGAGTTCTTACCGGCGTTTGTCCCTCCGTGTTTCTGCAGGTTCCCAAAACAGCGTTTTTCACTCACGAATTCCCTTTGCAAGAGCAAACACCTCCAGAAAAAAATGCTCAAGAAGTGTCAAGGCTGGAATCGACCATATGGCGTTTAGATAGATGTGCATCACATAGGTGTACATTAAAGTCAGAAACATATGTGAACTTCCCCAAATGGGGGTACCCTCAATATACCCCAAAATACTAGAATCCCTATTGTAGGAACACCCCAAAGCGTCTCTAAACCCTAAACCCGAAACCTCTATTTTCGTAAACCCCCCATATAGTGAGGTCTCGCGCATTATCGGGCCATGGGATTCGGGGTCCTTGTCGGGGTGCTTCCTGGTATCCAGGGTTTAGGGTTTAGGGTTTAGGGTTCAATCTCAGGCTACGACATGTTCCCTTTTACGCCGCACATCGAGACGGTGGGTCTCTTCGTGAGATAGCAACCAGCTCCACAGATTCTGTTGGTTCCTGCATCATGGACAAGCGGAACTCTGGCGGCGACTATTTGGCTTGAGGCGCTTTGAGACGAGGCGGAGATCATCTTCTCGAGATGCCTTAAGCAGATCAGGCTTATGTCAGTGTGGGCCAAGCTGTCCGGAACAGGATAGGTGCTCAGACCAGCTATACTGTGTTGTCTTCTTCGGTGCGCCGTTTGTCCACGTTCCTCTTCAAGATCACCTGGTTGCCTTCAGACCCATCGAAGCCTGCTGCTTCTCCAGGCAAGAAGCATGGCCACACGAACGACAAGAAGGACAAAAAAGGCGCCGGCGCCGCCATCAGACCCACCGGACCCTGCTGCGTATCCAGGCAAGAAGCATGGCCACACCCAAGACAAGAAGGACAAGAAGGCGGGCAAGAAGCTCGGCCACACAAAGGGCGAGAAGGCAGGACACTATCCGGAGCCGGCAGCAGAGGTGGAAACGCATCTTGACTCAAGCGGCCAAAGCTGTGCACGGTTCTGTCCAGTGGTGGTTTGTGCGGGCTTGGCTGGTTTGTATTGCATCGCCGAAGACGAAGATGGTGTCGAGGGATATGCCAGTATTCGAGACTGAAGTAAGTTTGCTGCAAGATGTCCGACCATGGGGACACGTCACAAACCGAGGTCCAGACGGTCCACACACTGTCACACTGCACTGTCGACAATCAAGCGGGCATGCAATGAGGCTGAACGCACTTCCCGGTAAGGCCCGGCGCACACATGTCCAACCAGAAGAGACGGAGAGGACGTGGAAGGAAAAAAAATCAGGCGTGCAAAGAGTCTTGTGGGAGGCGAGTGGCTGCCATGTTAGCCAGCACGCCGCTACGTGCTTGGAATCGCAGCAACTTTGACCACCTAGCCGACTTGATCCAAGACGCTAACCCCGCAAACCTTTTAGGGTTTAGGGTTTAGAGTTTAGGGTTTAGGGTTTGGGGTCCGATTCCGCTGAGATCCATGCCAACAGCGCCGTGCCAAAGCCAGTTCGGACGTTTGAAGAGGCCGGGAAGGGTGTGGCCTTGGCGTTTCGGCTCCCAAAGGAAATTAAAGTCTCAGGGAGTGTGTCGCTTCTCATTGATTTCGCCTCTTGCGAGACTTCCTAAACTCCCATAAAACTTTCATATTGCATTCAAGGTTATGAGGGCCCGATTGTTCCCTAAACTCTAAACCCTCAACCCTAAACCCTTAACCCTAAACCCTAAATCCTAAACCCTAAACCCTAAACCCTAAACCCTAAACGCTGGCACCATGAGCTCCAGCGGCCCGGAGCCAAAGTCACGTCGCCCTCTGCAGCCACCAGACCGACTTCGATGCAAACCCGGGTTTAGGGTTTAGGGTTTAGGGTTTAGGGGGTTTGGGTTTAGGGTTTAGGGTTTAGGGTTTCAGGGTTCAGGGTTTAGGGTTTAGGGTTTAGGGTTTAGGGTCCTAAATTCCGAACCTTAAACCCGAAGCAAAAAAAAACACAACCAAAAGTTGTGCAGAAAAATTGCCAGGCCTCCTTTCCAGACTACGTCCTCGACCAGATCCAGCGTGCCGGCTTCAAAGAGCCCACGCCCCTGCCCCAGCAAGGGTTTAGGGCTTAGGGTTGAGGGTGCAGGGTTTAGGGTTCAGGGTTCAGGGTTTAGGGTTTAGGGTTTAGGGTTCAGGGTTCAGGGTTTTGGGTTTAGGGTTTAGGGTTTTTAGGACTCTTGGGTTTCATGAGTGCTTCTGGGCTAGCGACCTGAACCCTACTTTTCTTTGGGCTTTCAGGGATATGGGCCTGTGTTACTCCATTGAGCTAAACCTTAAACCCTAAACGCCAAACCCTAGACCGCTTTGATAGGGATGATCGGGTTTAGGATTTACGGGGCTTGGTCTGCTCTGGGATCCTGGGTATACACGTCAATGGGGTTACAGCCTGGATGTTCCCCCTTATACCTTACTGGCTGAAAACCCCACTTTTCAACTTATGGGCTTCTTGTAAGGTAGTGTATTCTGAAAGTTTCAACTGTTATTTCCTTGGGTTTTGGGCCAGTAAGATACTAACAGTCCTTAATCGGAATTGTTCTACCTGCTATGATCCCTATGAAGGACTGTTTGTTTTTGTAAACAGGGGGAACATCTTATACACCCCATGGAAGGAAAAGGGCGTACTGGGAAACATGGCATATCTTGGCATTTTCCTCCAGAGTCGCAACCTTCAAAGCCTATTTCGTCAAACCGTTCTTGACCAAATGTCATCACTTGGGATGTTCCCCCTGAGACTCACAGGCCTTAATAGGGATTCTAATCGGGGGTACTATAATCCCTATGGCCCTATGAAGGAGTGTTAGTATAAAGCCTAAACCCTAAACCTTAAAACCCTAAACCCCCTAAACACCCCTAAAACAACATCCCAAATCCTCACCAAGGAGTCGACAGAGCATATAAACTTGGACCAATGACCGTCTATAGGGTTTAGGGTTAGGGGTTTAGGGTTTAGGGTTTAGGGTTTAGGGGTTAGGGGTTTAGGGTTTAGGGTTTAGGGTTTAGGGCTAGGGGTTTAGGGTTTAGGGTTTAGGGGTTAGGGGTTAGGGGTTTAGGGTTTAGGGTTTAGGGTTTTCACATACGTAAAGACTTGCCTCGAAATGAGGGCCCTTCTATTGGTCACTGGTGTCGTTCAGCAATAGATCTTCAAGTGCAATCTAAGGTGTCCCTAGCTCCGGGGTCTTTCACTCTCGAAGACTTCGCTCAATTTACCATTATATAGGTATCACTTTTTGTTCTGTACATATATATATATACATAAGGTATCTTTAAACTTTAAAGTTTGAGAAATAACAGTGAAGAACCAGATGAGAACAACGTGATGATTTATTTAGATGAGAATACACTATGGCCCATAAAGCATATTGGCTCGAGATTTTGATGCCTCATTTGGCTTATGTCCAAACATAATTCCAGTAGAATTTACATGATCTGAAGCTTCTCATGAACCTGCAGCCCTAAACCCTACAAACCCTAAACTCCTAAACCCCCCGCCCCCCCCAGAGTCCCCACACCCTGAGCCGCAGACACCCTAAACCCTAAACCCTATAAACCCTATAAACCCTATAAACCCTATAAACCCTATAAACCCTATAAACCCTATAAACCCTATAAACCCTATAAACCCTATAAACCCCAAGCCCGAAGTCCCTTGTCTTGCGACAGCGCGCCGGGAGGCCGATCCAGGTTCAGGGCTGGCCCATCGCGCTGTCTGGAAAAGACATGGCCAGGGACACGGCTTTTGGTCAGGGTAGGGTTTAGGGTTTAGGGTTTAGGGTTTAGGGTTTAGGGTTTAGGGTTTAGGGCTTAGGGTTTAGGGTTTAGGGTTTAGGGTTTAGGGTTTAGGGTTTAGGGTTTAGGGTTTAGGGTTTAGGGTTTAGGGTTTAGGGTTTAGGGTGTGTAAGTCGTAGCGCGCTCGGGCGGAAAGCGCGCCGAGCCGCTCGCTGCAGCGCGGCTATGTTACACCCACCCTAGACGACACCCACGCAGACTCGGCTTGTTTAGGGTTTATCTTTTGGGCTTCACAACACCAACAAGATGAGCCCTATAGGGTCTAGGGTCTAGAATCAATTGGGGCTTGAGGGCTTAACCCCCAAACCCGGAAAACTCTGAATCCTCCCCTCCAGAGCCTCCAAACCGAGAAGTTAGAAGGCATCCATACGGCTTGGGGAAATTAGGGTTTAGCGTTTAGGGTTTAGGGTTTAGGGTTTAGGGTTTGGGGTTTGGGGTTTGGGGTTTGGGGTTTAGGCTTGAGTACCCGAAACCGTGAACCCTGCACCCCTATAAGCTTCCAGAGAGAAAAGAACAAGCATGTCGTTGTGGTTCAATGTTTGGGAGGCCCGCGACCCTGAACTTCAACCTTTTTGTCTGCATTCTTAGGGCTTCGGCGCTCCCCAAGACCTAGAGCTCCAAACTCCGCCGAACTCTGCTATTTAGAGCTAGTGTTTATGAGGCTTAGGCTTCGGACTCATGCGCGTCACCGGCAAACCTCATCGGATAAAAGGGTGGCTGGCGGGGTCGGGCGGGGTCATGGTGCAGGGTGTCGGGGTAGCAAACTCCAGACCTGCCAAGCAGAGGCCTGAATAGCCCAAACCCTAAACCCTAAACCCTAAACCCTAAACCCTAAACCCTAAACCCTAAACCCTAAACCCTAAACCCTAAACCCTAAACCCTAAACCCTAAACCCTAACGTAAAGCTCTGGGCCCTCGTCAGGTGGGTGTTGCAGAGACAGGCTCTGGCAAAACCCTGGCCTTCCTGCTTCCCGCAGTCGTGCACATAAATGCCGGGCGCTTGAGCGGGGGGCGAGAGGATAACTGTTCAGGGGCGGTTCAATTGTGATCTTTCTTAGTAGCTGAGTAGGTACCCTTTAACCTTTTGGGGATAGATAATCCGACCAGAATTGAAAGGTTCACCTTTTTTTCGGCCCGGGGTACTCAGCAACGAGGCCTTAAGGGCGGGAGACGTTTAGGGTTTAGGGTTTAGGGTACCAGAACGAGGCCCAGCCGTTCCTCGAGAGGGGAGACGGCCCGATCGTACTGGTGATGGCTCCCACGCGAGAGCTCGCCGTGCAGATCCAGGAGAGACCCGCCACGCTCTACCTTTAAAACCCTAAACCCCAAACCCTAAACCTTGAAGAAGGGCAGGTTTTCCCCAAAAAATCCAAGATTGTT